ATGAAAGACGAAAAATACGAAGGAAGGATAAAAGCCGAATTAAAAAGTGAACAAAGAAAAAATATGAAAAAAGAAAAAAAACGAATGAAAAAATGAAAGAAGAAAAAAAAGAAAGATTAAAAGTTAAAAAGAAAAAAGTCAAATGAATAATGAAAAAAGAAAAAATGAAGGAAGAATAAAATCAGAATGAGAAAATGAATGAATACAAAATATGAAGGAAGAGCAAAAGATTAAAGAATCGTGAAAAATGAAAGGTGAGGATGAATTGATGATAAAAACTTAGAATGAAACTTGAAATAAGAATTAAAAAAGGAAAGAAGAAAAGCAAATTAAAGTAAGAGTCTCAAAGGAATAAAAGAGGAAATAAAAAGTTTAAAATCATTCAATTGAATGAAAATAAAAAGTACAAAAATTAAAAGAAACTTTAAGAAATTAAAAGATTTTTTTTTTTTTTTGCAAGTGAATATCAGATTAAGCGATTATCAGATGAAGTGAATATCAGATTAAGCCCGTGAAGAGGAGATGGATTTATATCTTTCCCAATTTACACGTAAGTGAATGTAATGAACCCGACTGCAATTCGAACTCGGCTCTTCGATTTCTCATTCCGTTCTCCATTACGTCACACGCGCGTCCAACCTTACAACACCTGGTATTCCCAAACAGAAAAGGTCGACATTGCTTAACTTCGGTGATAAGACGGGAACAGGTGTTTCAAGGTGCCATCTGTTGACCTTTGACGTGAAGAGGTTAATATTCTAGTGTTCAAGATAGTATATACACGCTGGAGGCTTTTCGATGAAATCTCAGTTCTTGCGATAAAGACGTATAAATAAAACAGCCTACTTACAATTAGAATGCGGAGGAAATGAGGGTGATTCACGTCTGTGGATTGTCTATCTCTAAATTTCTGAAATGGTGGAACTAAAGAATAAAGTTTGTCTTCACATAGACTTTATGTAGAAGAACTTCATTTATCTAAAAAATGCGTGATGTTAAGTTGTTTTATTTTTAATTTTTTACAAAGATTTTCAGAGGAAAATGTCATGAAGCCATTTCTGACCTTAGGTCTCTTGTTAGGACCCGGAAGGAAATGTGTATACAACAGAAATCAAAGAAATAATAATAATAATAATAATAATAATAATAATAATAATAATAATAATAATAATAACAAAATATCTACACTGGAAAATATGCAACTTTTAGAGGAAAGAAACTGCAAGAAAGAGATATGAACATCATCCAGACCCGGTCACAGAGATAAGACCTATTGTAACAATTTTAAGGGACTTTACAATACACAGAGACAGAACAATCAAATCTAATCGCCCAGACATCGAGTTCAAAGATCACAGAAAGAGAATGTGCTTTCTTATTGACTTGGAATGCCTTGCAGATTGTAATATATTTTTGAAGATCTTCAAAAAGCTATCAAAATACAAGGACCTTGAAGTGGAATTATAAAAGAATCTGGCACACGGGGACATCAATAATTCGAGTTGTAGTTGGAGCCCTTGGATTGACTGGAAAAGGTTTCCGATAGACTCTGTGAAGGAATTCCGGTAGCCAATGTTTTAAAGAAATACAAAAAAATTCTACTCACAAGTACTGCTCACACATTACGAAGAACTTTATTTATGTAAAATGTGTGTGATCTTTGTATTTTTTTTCCCAAAAAATGATCAGTGGAAAATGTCATGAAGTCATTTCTGACCTTATAACCCTCGTTGGGACCCGGAAGGAAATGAGTATACAACAGAAATCAAAGTAAATAATAATAAATATAAAATGATTAGTGGAAAATGTCATGAAGCCATTTCTGACCTTAGGTCTCTTGTTAGGACCCAGAAGGAAATGTGCTTACAACAGAAATCAAAGGAAATAATAATAAATATAAAATGATCAGTGGAAAATGTCATGAAGGGATTTCTTACCTTAGGTCTCTGGTTGGGACCCGGAAGGAAATGTGTATACAACAGAAATCAGAGGAAATAATAATAAATATAAAATGATCAGCAGAAAATGTCATGAAACCATTTCTGGCCTTAGGTCTCTGGTTGGGACCCAGAAGGAAATGTGTATACAACAGAAATCAAAAGCAATCATAACAATAAATGCCACTCATTTCCGAGTATGTCCGTGCATCTAGATATACTAGACAATCCCTACTTCAGACGCTTACTCAGGCATATTTTGTTTGTTACATTTGCTGGTTGTATTTCCTGGGAATGAGCACATAACCTGACCAAAAGTTTAAACAAGGCCAGTACTCTCAAACACTCGGTCATGATGATTTGAAAAAAATACATAAACGTTTATGAAATTATATTCGAATGCTACTCTCGTAAATGAAACGTACAGGAAGTGTAACGGTTATTGATGCACGACGGGAAATCTTCATGTCAGCTGCATTCACTTTTGCACAAATATCAAAATGCATTTTATGCTCTCTTTGTTTTTCACGACCAATTTTCCCCAGATATAAGGGGAAAAAAGGAAAGAAAAAGACAGGGTTCTCCACAAAACATCGAGAAGCTATATAATCTTTACGTGTTCAAAGATATCATCATTTACCTGTAAAGAAGAGCGACATTACTTATTATAACAAAGACTCCAATCAAAAAAGCAATATTTTAGGCGACATCCGGTTCATTGCCTGATAATGTAAACTCAAACAGCTCCATCTGTTAAATATATGATTTCCAAACGGTACGACCCATCCCTGTTGTGTTTCAGCTATATTGTATTCATAAAATAAACTGGTTTTCTTTTTCTTTTTTAATCATATCCACCCAAGCAAGGCAACAAAGCCACTAAGACGCATGGGATTACTGAGTAGGAAAGAATATGAAAAAATGATAAACATCATTAAGGAGAGAGAACAATAAAAGAACAGGAATTAAGAAGACAGAAAATAACGATTGACATTGCATTTACATTTTTGAAAATCAAAGGTAATAAAGCCACTAAGACGCATGGAGGGGTTACTGATTCTTAGAGAATATGAGACAAAATATTATTAAGGAGAGAGAACAATAAAAGAACAGGAATTAAGAAGACAGAGAATAACGATTGACATTGCATTTACATTTTTGTAAATCAAAGGTAATAAAGCCACTAAGACGCATGGAGGGGTTACTGATTCTTAGAGAATATGAGACAAAATATTATTAAGGAGAGAGAACAATAAAAGAACAGGAATTAAGAAGACAGAAAATAACGATTGGCATTGTATTTATATTTTTGAAGATCAAACCGGATATCAAGAAGCCGGAAGAAATTTTCACAAGTTAAAAATCTGAGAAAAGTAACTATTAGCATACAACTTACGGTTATATCTAGCCATTTCAACTATAAAATGATGAGACCTAGCCGCCAATTCAGTACTGCACTTAAATTCATAGAGTCTCGGTACCAGAGAGAAAAGTCCATCAGAACAATTACCTTTAATATATTTATAGAAAAGGGACAAGGAAGCTACGTTATGGCGAAGAGAAAGAGACTGAACCCAAGATGCCAGGTCAGGGTCAATGACATTGCAGATTCTTCTTTTGTTTTAATATGAAAACGTAATACATTCTAAGATAAACTGTGACGTAAACAAAATATCGATATATATATCATACGAATCTACCTCTTTCCAACTTCCTTAAACTAACCTTTGCAACATCGGAGAACAGACTCAAGACGCTGTGGTTTCCGCAAAAAATAAGGTTTTTACGGGTAGACCGGTTGACAACTGAGGCAAGAGAATATAGCCTCCTCAGACATTTAACGCCTTGCAGTGAGAGAAAGTAAAGATGGAGTTATAGCATTCCTATGAGCATTTGCGTGAAAGTGAACACAATAAACTGGGTCAGAATTTTGCCCCCGGCATACCGGTTTCGCTTTCCGCGCTAATTCCGAAGAGAAAAGGCTGAAATAAGTGTTTTACGGCAAAAGGTTATGTGAAAAAACTCAGCACTGAAAATATATAATTATCACCTGAAATGACCAAAGTAATTTTTCATTGTACAGTATTTACATTAGTCGGACTATTGTCCTCATCTTTGTCGCCATATTTGTCACAACGTTTCGGCCGTTGTACGCTCCGGTCTTCTTCAGGTGGTTGGAATTTCGAACTGAACCCTTTATTTCGATCGCTGGGGCAGACCGTTCCAATTCCACGTGCCATGTCTGATGGATGTCAGTTATCAGTTATCTCCTGCTAATTCTCCCTCTGAAAGCTCTCCACTGCCCCAACCAGGAATTGAACTCACCCTCTTTGGGTCTGTCACCGGATCCAACCAACGCCCCCATCCACTGTGCCATGTGTCCTTGAGGACACATGGCACAGTGAAGAAGGCCGGAGCGTACAACGGCCGAAACGTTGTGATAAATATGGCGACAAAGATGAGGACAATAGTCCGACTAATGTAAATACTGTACATAATACCTCATCTCAGAAATATAGACAAACTCCGTAATTTTTCATTTACGTATTGTAAGATAACTAGATCTTTTCAAAAATACTTTAGAAATATCCAACACTTATACTGATGGCAAAACGTCTGCATAGTGTTATACCAGAACATTACCTATTCTATTGTAATAGACTCTCCCACACATAATAAGTAGTAGTAGTAGTAGTAGTAGTAGCGGTCGCCAGGGGGGACTCAGTGGTGTTGAGTGAGTCAGTCGATGTCGGACGTTGAAGTATCAACCATCACAACTAGATTGCTGCGTCATTAACTCTTATTTCAAGTTCCTAACGTTTTGTACGTCGGACCCTTTTTAGGACCGACTTAGTGAAATACAAGCCTCCAGTGTGAAAACTACTCTACAACAGATAGATAGATAGATAGATAGATAGATCGTCACGTTACAAGATATGGATTCATGCCTTTCCCAAGGGTATTTGCGCGTAAGTGAATATAACGAAAGCAACTGGAATTGGAACTCGGCGCTCCAATTAACAATACCGAGCCATTATGCATTATATCACCAGCAGATCCAAGCATACAGCATCTGGTATTCCCAAGCGGTCACTCATGTAGGGACTGATCAGGCTCGACATTGCTTAACTTCGCTGATCGTACGAGATCAAGCGATCAAAATAAGAACTGTTTCCCACACATATCGGGAAGCTTTCTCATGAAGAAGCCGAAGACGGAAAATTGGGTCTGAAAAACTTCTTATTTAAACTGAGCAACAAAGCGAAAGATGACTTCTTAAATTCTGGCCTTGCATTAAATAATATCAACAGAAAAACATGGATATTTCTTTTTTCACTTCCAGTTTTATTTTCAACAAATAATTACCAAATTTAACTTACCTTTCAACAAATAATTAGAAAATTAAGTCAGGTGTTTAAGAATATCAATTTTCCAATATGAAGAATTCGTCTTGATATTTAATTAATTAAAATAAATTAGCTAATTAATTATTGACGTGGTTTCCTGTTTCGTTCCGTACGTGGATTTTTATAAAACGAGCACGTACTGAGGAAAGCGGGCTTAGAAAATTTGACACTGACAAAAGATATTGAAGTCAAAAGGGGCAAAGGAAGCCAGTGAATAACCCTTGCCTAACGAGCTTGTGTAAGTGGCTGGCAGAACAAGGGGTTAGGGGTGATAGCGAAAAGACAAAAGTGAACAATCAAGCGAAAAGTGTCATAGGGTTGAGTTTAAAGATTGATCGTAGCCCACGCGTACATGGACTAGGGTCTAAAACTGTGCAAACTCCATCGGCACTTTCAATTTTCAACACATCTTAAGCGTTAAATAATGAATAGAGACTCCTCCTGAAATGCGAATTATTGTTCAAAATTTTGCTAATCCCAACTGACCTCTGCTAATGTATTAATCCTATAGTCGTAAGCCTGTTGACCTTTGACGTGAGGAGGTTAATATTGTAGTGTTCAAGATAGTATTGTAGACTCGTCCTTTTCCTACCTATCACCCCTACTAACAGAAGAGTCTATATCTTACTCCTACGTACGGAAAACTTCAACCAATAAAAACCGTACTAGGCGAATCAACAAATCTCATTGGTTAACGACACAATAATCTGAAAGTTTCGCGTGCAAAACGAAATTGCGCCAAAACTTCTTTGAGCCGATTTTGGACTTTCAAAACATATAAAAGAAAACGCTGACTGACCAAAGCAGTCAGAGACGAACATCCACAGAGAAACTGCCAACATACTCCACGTCACTCGAAATCACGATTTTACCGCGCAAAAGTGCATCAACGCTGACTCACTTGCAATTTAAACTCGACCAACTCTGTGGACATCGAATCGCAAACCTAAAACAACTTTGCTTATCCAAAGTGAATTATATTCACTACATATTAAGTAAAAATCAACGTTCGAACGATTCAGAAATATTACAGTCAAAGGTAAATCACTCCGTAAGAACTCATTCCAAAAATCACAATATCGACATTTTTAATATTAACACAAAACTAGAAAGACTGTAAATGAACATACAAATACTAAGAAAGACATACCGAAACCTAAAATATCACACACACTTTGCCATAGTAACATATACCAAAATATCCTGTATATACATTACTTTGAATTGTATATAAATGTTTTATTGGTTTCTAAATTAAATACGTCTTGTTTTTTATTGTATTTAAATTTCGTTTATTTATTTGTTTGTGGATGCAGAAAGTCACGCAACCTACACAAATTCCTTCTGATTCTCTCAATTATAATTAATAAATTCTGCACATCCCCAACAGTATATAGACGAAGGAGTCTTTTCGATGAAGTCTCAGTTCCTGCGATAAAGACGTCTAAGTAAAACAGCCTACTTACAATTAGAATACGGAGGAAATGAGGTTGATTCAAGTCTGTGGATGGTCTATCTCCAAATTTCTGAAATGGTGGAAGCGAAGAATAGAGTTCGTCTTTACAGAGACTTTATATATAAGAGCTGTATTTACATAAAAAGTGCGTGATGTTAGATTGTTTTATTTTTCATTTTTTGCAAAGGTTGGGAGCCGAAACCAAACGTGTATACAACAGAAATCAAAGGAAATAATAGTAACTATAAAATGACCAGTGGAAAATGTCGTGAAGCCATTTCTGACTTTAGGTCACTGGTTGTGACCCGGAAGGAAATGTTTATACAACAGAAATCAAAGGAAATCATAATGACTACTAAAATAGTATGTAAGTGCTATTGCCCATCCTGATGGTGTGTCGACTTGACGTGGTAGGACGGTTTGCGTGCTTCAATGACCCCAGAGCTATGTAGGGATTCGTCCCTCTGCAGGTTGAACCAGGCTCAATAGGTCTGCCAGGTAGGAGCCAGACGAAAGACACATTCTGATCCTCCAGGGTGGGGATTGTGCAGTAGGCTATGAACTTAGTCACTTAAAAATTAGCTTGTTACAGAAACCTCAACGATATCTTCAAACAACAACAACATGGCCGAGGAAGAGTCCTCCAAAGTGAAGCGTATGACGCGTGTTGGTGAAAATGCCCCCGGGGAGGCAGCCGGCACGACATGGGCCGAACTGAAGAGGATCGCCCGTAACCGCGTCCGTTGGAGTGATTCTGATGAAGTGCTATTTTCCCCAAGGAATTAAGTGGCATGATGATGATGATGATGATGATGATGATGAAGTGCTATTGCACACGTTTATGATTCTTGAATGTAGATATATTCTTAACACATGAGACAGAATGAGAATTACAACATGAACATAAATGCTACCATGAATATTGAATATTTACCTGTGGTTTTATATATGCGTTTACAGTTCAAATCCACATCGGCATAAGATCTACTTACATCCTTGTGCAAATTAATTGAAACAATCGCTTTAGTTTCCTTTTTTTCGCCATACAGACAATTTTGGACTCACTGGATTGACGGGGTGCGATAGATTTCTATTTTTTCCTCAGATTAGTTCATTTGTAGTGGTGTGCAGTAATGTGAATCTATTTTCGGGGATGGGGTATGATGAAATTTGTTTGGCCGTGAAAAATATGGCATCATCAGTGACTGCATCAAATTTTCATCACGCCTAGACACTATTGTTTCGACTGTCGATTAGTTGTCCGACGGCCATTGTCTGCGATAGACGTTACTCCAAGGAAGCGTATGAAAATTATAATGCTGTACGAACAAGCCTTGCCTGTGAGCAAATCAAATTATTATCGACTGGCTCGGAAACTCTCCTGATTTAAATCCAATGGAGAATCTGTGGTCAATCTACAAGGAAAGACTTCATGGAATGGACTTACGAAGTACTAACATTTGTTCTGTGTCATGCTTCGTTGCAAAAAATACGAAAAAAAGTAAATGATAACGTAATAAATTCGTTTTGTTTCAATTAATTTGCACAAGGGTGTAGGTGATCATGGCCCTCCACATCTTCCTGTATAATCAATTTGCACAAGGATGTAGTTGGTGGCGTGATTCCGCAACCTGTAATTATTGACGCAATTATCGATGCTCACGTATGTTTATTTGATCATTTCATTCCACTAAATAAGACTATGCTTAAACATGACCCTACATTGCTGGTCTATTTATTTTTATCGTGTATTGCCTGAACGAAGTGATTTATTAAAAACACGATACCCATATTAAATAGAACAGCCACTCGTTCCGAATGTGGGCAAAGAGATTTATGGCACGTATTAGATATTTTCCAGAAAAAAAGAAAAGTATTAAAAGAAGATTGTTCGGGTGACAAACAGCGTGGATATAAGGGTAGCCTAATGGTTATCAGTATATAAGTGCAATTAACACCCCGAGTTAAAATTCTGACCGTGTTTTTTTCTGTTCCCTGACGTAATTGAATGCGCTGTGTCCCTTTAGGATGTGGGGAATTATGGCTCCCCACAACTTCCTTTCCCTTGTAGCCCCAAGTTTGTCTTTCATCTCTCTGACAATCATTAAAAATTAGGTATCTCCACTAATTCGGTATAAATTTTCGATACCTACGGTTTAAAATGAATTTTTTAAAATGTAAAAGTATTCATGAAGATTTCATTTTAGCTTTAATTGAAAGCTAAATGATTAAATATACATTTTCCAGTAAGTAAAATATTCTGGTGTATTTCAATTAGAAATTATAGAGATTGGAATCTCAATTTTTTGGCTTTTTCAGAAAATTTTAAAAGCAGCCATTTTCTTAATTTTAAGAAATTTGTAAACAGAACAAAATTATCGGTTTTAAAAATGTTCGAAAAATAAAATATATATTCAGGGGACGTTAGTTGAGTGAAAATGGCTAATTTAAAATTAATTTGAAATAAACGTTACTTACTTATAGCATAAAAATAACATACAAGCATTTCTTAAAGACGATTCATGTTTTTCTTTGATCTTTATTGATGTATCGATAAGTTCCGAGGTGATGACAGCTAGTATGGATGACCAGAATTGACATAAATTTACGAAATCTAAGTGAACGTATGTATTTTGTTTTTAACCACTTAGTAATTTTTAAAAATTAACATATTTTCAGCAATTATCTAATATTTTATTGACTGTTAGTTACGTTCGAAGATGTTTTATAAAAAAATTTAAAAAATTTAAAGTACTATAAAATTTTCTTAAATTAATTTTAAAATTTAATAACAGATGAAATTAAAATAAAGATATGTAAACAATAAAATTAACACAATGATCTAGAATTTTTATAATAATTAAAATATTGTTTAATCATTAATAGTTAATAAACTTTAATTAACATTAGCTAAAAAACATTTTTCTGTTTTCTTCAATCCAAGCACGTGAACTTTTCATAATAATACCATGTTTAGGCCTTCATAGATGAAAAGAGCAAACAATTAAAGTAAAAAATAAAATAAAAATTATTTTAAAAACAGAATAGTAAAATTAATCTTTTCAATATTGGAATCGTAAACTTCGTTTCCACTTAATTACAATATCACATCCAAGACATAAAGTCACAGAATTTTAAACGATTTTTAAACTATTAGAAATTATTATAATTAAAATTTTAAAAAATGAAAAAATTCTTGCAAAAATTCATTATTCATCGAAAAATTTGATTTCTTCAGACAATAGTATCCTTAATATAACTTATTTACAAAAGTAATTAAAAGCTCTTCTAATT